CAGGATTATTGGGAAAGAAGTGAAAGTGTTTAAAGATATTCATATTTCATGTGTTATATGTTCCCCAACTAAATTGCAACTTTCTTTCATTTAGCAAGCTTACTCATGACTTGAGTTGTGCTATTAAATTCTATTCTAATTTTTTTGAATTTCAGGCGGTGATTTCGGGAAAGATGATTGACTGTGTTGAATTGTAGCAATGTCTATAGCTGCTCAACGAAAGCCATTCTCTTAACGCATAAGTATCTTCTCTACCATCTTCTTCTCATGTTCCCGAGTTTGTCGTTTCTGAACTTGTTGAAAGTCAAATTTTATTATGACATTTTCATCCGAGTCATCCCAAATATTTTTTTTTATATTGCATTGTACTCCCATCTTTTTATTAGTGAAACGTCAAAATTTTATGGTGTGAAATCTATCATTTGGCTAAATAACTCGTCATGTATATCATTTATTTCAATACAAACCCTCACATCCCTTCTCTATCACCCACAATGACATTTAAGAACTATCAAGATTGAAGACCATCAATGGGGTCAGATGATTTGTCTCCTTCGTTGATGATCGCATTAGAACCAATTAGATATTCCTCATGAAGGAGAAATATGAAACTACACAAATGTTTCAGTCATTCCATGGCCTAATTTGCACCCAGTTCTAATGCAAAATTCAAATTTTCAAAACTGATAATACAAGAGAATACTTCAACTTGATCCTTGGATTCTATCTTGAAAAAAAATGGTATCATCCTTATGAATTCCTGTGTTGAAACTCCACAACAAAATTAAAACGCTAAGTGGAAGAATAGGCATCTCTCCGAGATATTTAGGTCTATAATGCTTTCCCACAATGCCCCAATAGTTTTCTCGGGAGATGCAATGCTTATAACCACCTACCTCATTAATAGAATGCCAAGCAGAGTCTTTAGATTCAAATGCCCTCTCCATATTTTGATGGAAACTTATCCTCCTGTTAGAGCTTTTTCATTCAATATTTCTTTAATAATATTTGGTTGTTTCTTTAGTTCACATTCACCTACCCAAAATTCGCCAAATGCATCATTCTTGATTATGTTTCTAACAACAATAGGTACAAGTGTTGTTCTCGTATTACTAAAAGATATTATAACTCCATGGCTACTATATTCTTTGAAATATAATCCTACTAACCCAAATTTGTAGTTCAGGTGCAGAGTTTGGTTGAACATCAGATTTGGGATGTTACTCTGAATAAAAGTCACCACAACCTATTCTACTTCCCTCTAAACATCTTGTCTCCAAAGTTCCACCATTTGAGAATATCCAACTTGAGATTGATAATAAGGAAATTCACAAGGAACTTCGTGCATACGCTTAGAGAAAAAAATTCACCAAGTAGAATAAAGATAATATGCAACTATAGAACTGTTCACAACCAAATCTGAATCCACACATCTCTAATTTCTAAGAGAGGTGGAATCCAATTAAGTAGACAAGTAGAGTTGCACAAATTATTCTATCCAGCAGTATGCTGCCTATAGGAACTTATCATCACTTTATAAATCTTGTGTATTTAATATTGATAGTGCGCAAATTCCCAAGTCTATTCATAAAACACTTCAAAGTCCATGATAAAAAAAGACAGTTGATGAGGAGGCCCAACCACTTGATCTGAATAACACAGACCTTTACAAAGCTTCCTCTAGATAAAAAGCCCGTTCAATGTAAATCGGTGTTCAATGTCAAGTACAAAGCAGATGAGAGCATTGAGAGGCTAAGGCCATGTTGGTGGCCAAATGTTTCACTCAATCTCATGGGAATGAGACTTTTACGCCAGTGGCCAAGCTAAATGTTGTAAGAGTTCTTCTCTTCCTGGTAGCAAACAAAGAGTGAGAATTGCATCAATTTGATATCAATAATGCCTTTTTGAATGGAGATCTTGAGGCCATAAAACATATTTAAAAACTTGTCAAACCAAGCCCATGGAGATTATTTGACCTTTTTGAGGGAAAAAAAATTATGACCTTTTTGAATGGAGACCTTAAGGCCATGAATAGTGCGGAGCTGAGCATACACTATTCATAAAACATACACAAGGAAGTAAAAAATCTATACGTATTATTTGTGTAGATGATATAATCCTGACAAGTGATGATGAATAAAGGAATGAGAAGATTAAGAAAGTTCTTGAAAATCAAGAATCTAGGGCCTATGTTATACTTTATGAGCATGGAAGTGGGCAGGTCCAAGAAGGGAATTGTGATATCCTAAATAAATTACATCCTAGACTTACTAAAAGAGATGAATGTTGAGGTGTAACCCGCTGAGAATCCTATCGATTTCAACAAAAGGCACATTCATGGGAAGAAAATATACCATTGGAAAAAGGTAGATACCAGAGATTTGCAGAAAAATTTATCTATTTGTCACACGCTAGACTCTATAGCTTATTCTATCAACATTGTGTGTCAACATCTGAATATCCCAAATGAAGATAATTTGGAGATGGTTTACAAAATATTGAGGGTTCTTAAGATGACCCCTAATAGAGGGTTATTGTTTAAAAATCAAACAACAAGAATGTAGAAGTTTACATTGATGCTAATTAGGCAGGAGAACTCATGGATGGAAGATCCAAATCTGGGTATTGTTCTCATGTATGGGGAAATCTTGTCACTTTTAGAAGCAATGAGCAGTGATCTTTAGAAGTAGTGCAACATTTGAGTGCCAGGTACTTGCTTTGAGAATTTGTGAAGGAATGTTGATTCAAAGGTTAGTAAAGGAGTTGAGATGTTCCACGGTCAATACCATGAAGATTTTTTGTGATAGCCAAGTCACCGTTAGGATTGCAAAGAACCCTGTGCATCATGACATGACCAAATACATTTATATAGGTAAACATTTTATCTGCCAATGGTGGCATTATACACTTAGTGTACATTCCATTCTTGCTCATCTTCAAGTCATTGATGTCTTCACTAAATCCCTACCTCCAGACAACTTCTCTGAGTTGAATACAAAGTTGAGTCTTTACAACATCTATAACCTAGCTTGAGGGGGGAGTATGGAATTCCGTCCATGTAGGACATTTACTTTAGGAAGAAATTTTTTTTCTTCTCTTAGAATATGCAACATGTTATAATTGACTCACAATTAGCTAACTAAGGCAATAACAAATTTGTAATTCCATAGAAGCTAGTAAAGAACTATGAAAGCTTCTAATTTGGTGAACCAGGTCTACATGGGAGGCCTCATTTAGTTATAAATAGATGATGGAGGCTTGTAGAAAGTAAGAACTAAGAAGGAAAAGAGGAAGAAAATCAATCCAAGAAGAAGAAGGGGAGAGGCTTCAAGAATTGTGGGGAGAGTCTTAAGATCTCGTATCGAGGTAATTCGGAGAGGGAGAGATCAAGAGGTGTGTTCATTTCTCAATGTAAAAGACCTTCTAATTTCTTCTGAATTGTCTTAGTGGATTTGTTGTTGATTCCCTCCTGTGGATGTAGGTCTTATGGACCGAACCACGTAATTCTTTGATGTTCTTGTGTTGCATTTCATTTCTGCAGTTTTCTTTTCTGTTTTCCTGGTTTTCTTTTGGCTTGTTGTGGTTTCTTCTCCCTCCCAAGAGCTGTCCAGCAAAGTGTTATTCGACAGCTCAAGGAGGAGGAAGGTATCGGCATTCGATCCCACAGCTGTTCGTCCGATCTCTTCAAGTGAAGCAGATATACAGGAAGGCGAGTTAGGCAATTCATCTTCTAATCGCAGCCTGCAGGTGTTTTTTGGGCTGTTCTAATCGAAGCAGACATTTCTGGCTACAGCCACAAGGAGTTCGATATTCTGTACAGGGCCAATCTTCAGTTGCCACGAAACGAAGTCTAGCATTCCTTTCCTTCGGCTGTAGCAAGGAGGTCAGCAGTCAGCAAGGTGTTCAGAACTCTTGAGCTTAGGAGGATGGAAGGTTCTTCCATTCAAGAAGAACACTCATTCAGTTCTTGGAGGTGCAACAGAGTTTATTTGGCAATTCGGTTATTCAATTCTTTTGCATCTAACTCAATCCGCAAAAGTTCTTTGGAATATTTCAATTGTTCGGAGGGACAAGCTTTCCAACACACCAATAATGGAGTTTCCTTTTTAGTATTTTCTATTTTATGTCTTCCTTACTTGGAGGGATTCCTACTCTATTTATGTGTTTCTTATTATGTGTGTGTGTGTGTGCCGTGTAGTGTAATGTTTGAAATAAGAGAATAAAATTATTGTTCTAATTTCTTCATAAATCGTTGACGACACCTATAATTTCTACATCATGGGCTGTCAGTTTTGCAAACAATTATGGTTTGCGTAATTCCAATATTGTGCAAGCAAAAGCAAAAGATGACATGGAAAATGATTTTATGCATCTTACTAACGAGAACAATCATTGATATGATTCTTAATGATAAGATGTATTTATAAGCCTCTATCCTTCGCTCTCCAGAAATATGAAAGTTCCTCAAGTTCTCATTGGTCTACTTTTATTTATTTTGAAATTTCACTGTTGTTCTAGTACCCAAGAAGGATCTAATTGAGAAATTATTATTTGATGGATGGTCGCCGCCTCCATTTTTGCTGATGGATCATCTTGTAGCTAGACAAACAACTGACATCTTCATTATTATTGCGTCGCTTCCTCACTTGGATTTCTCAATGTTGTTTATCTCGAGTGTAAGATTGTCGTTAGTGGGGGAAGTAATGTTGCAAACCAACATTGTTATCAATCTAGCTTTTGTTAGGTGGGTTATTAGTTGGACAACATATTTTAATTTTGATCCAACTAATAACCCTAAACCTTAACGAGTATCCAGAATTGATATTTGCTCAAATAACCTGTATATTCATTTTTATTCATCAGGATTTTACCCAATTTTGATGCTAATGAACTTCGACATCTTTTGGATTTGTCTCGTGTTGGTTCTTGCTCCCCAACTAGCTTATATGTCTTGTGATAAAGAAACTTCTCTCATGCTAGATTTTGTTTCGCAACGACAGTGTGCCGTCCACATGCTCCGGCGGTGAAGAAGGCAATTAAGGAGTACCATTCGGTAAATTTTTACACATTTTTTCAATCCTTATTGGATTCCTGCTTGAATGACATGTTTTGCTAGTGCGTAATGCCCTAGCTGAGATCCTTAATATAAGATGATGTGCCTCTTGGTCTGGATGCAGGCTGTGAATGGAGGCCTTCTGCTGAAACTACCTTTCACCACCATATTCGAATATCTACAGGTTTTGCTTCTTCATTCAATGCGATATTCATGAAGCAAAAATGTTGATGCATGTAGTATTTTAAATGAACCATTCGTATTGTATATGTTTGTCAAATTCACTACATGGTCCATTATGGGATGAGTGTAAATATTAAAAGGGATGGTTCTAGAAATGATTATATTTAAGAATAGTTGCATTTGCATACATAGCACAAAATTTTTATGTATTTACATATCTCACACCTAAAACTTCATATTTGCAGAAATAACACTCAAAATTAACTATCACTAAAAATTACACCATTACCATTTTTTAAAAGTGAAATACACCTTTCTTGCATAGGTTTAAAACACCAAGTACTATATATTAAAATATGTGAGTTTAGGTGTGAGATATGCAAAACATAATAAAAAATATGATGAGTGTAGCGCTTTAGACCTGAGTGGTGCGAACAGATAAAGCGAGGCATGCCATAGACACTAATGAATTGGATATCTATTTGATGTGGAAGTTTTAACAATAAACAATGTTGGACCTAATTAGTGTTATCAAAACGCAAAATGCAATGCGATGCAAAAAAAATTATTTTTGCTTCAAAGCATGGAGCTGAGCGTAGCGGCGCTTTTATTAACTAAAATGCTAATATATTTTATAAAATTATTAATGTATAAATGCATTCATGAACAATTATAAAATATAAAGTATAAATTAAATGTTGATATAAAATAAAAGGAATCTAGTATAATACCTAACTTGAAGGCAAATATTGATAGAAAAGGTTTCTTCTCTTAAAATTAAAAATTTGAAGTTAAATGTTTGGATATTAGTTAAAATTCTCTCTAAAACCTAGTCTTTTTTGGTTCACACTCATTCCTTAAAAAAGGGTATTTATATACATACCATCCAATTCTTATGTATTTACATATCTAACAATGAAACATAATATGTAAAAATTGAAGTATAGGTGTTACATAATACATAGGTTGAGAGATATGATTAGCTAAATTGAAATCTAGGCCAAAGTCGAAGGAATACCACAACGTTCAAAACACACTTGGAAATCTAGGCTGAAGTTGAAGACAACGCTCGACTCCCTTGTGCTGCTCGAACTCTCGAACACGACTGTCCGCTTCTTGCACTCCTTTGAAAATCAGACCGAAGCCTTTATTTACCGCCGTTAAACCGTAAGCACGCCAACTGACTTTAGTGCTTCGAAGCGTGTTCAACGAAGTGAAGTGGGTGTCGAATGCTTCACTTGGCTTGTGCAATGCTCCTTTGAAAACAACCTAATGTACATGACATTGTGAAAGAAAACTTGCAAAAGAAACTACATTAGCAGTAAATGTATTATTAAAGGAGAATTAGTGGGGAAGGGGGATTTATGATATGATCCTTATTTAATTGAATACTGCTAATGTTGATGAGGTTGATAATTTTGGTATTTGATATATCATTTGCATCATTCAATGTTGCAAACTTAGTTTTCCTTTCACATCCGTGAAATTTTTAACCCGTAATGTTTCTAACAGATAATAGAAGTGGTGGCCACGTCAATGAGCTGTCTAGGACCACGTGGAATGTTTTATCTTGCTGCTGCAGTATCAGACTTTTATGTTCCATGGGAAAGTATGGTATGTAATGCCAAAGTTTGACATTTTAGTGAAGCAGTTCAGTAATGGCAATAGAAAGTTATTTTAAACGCTCAAGCTCTTAAAATAAAGAAAGTTCACTCTGAACCATAATGGCCTTCCCTTCTTAAGTTAATAATTCCTTAGAAACAACCTACTACAGTCGACAGAATCGAGTCTCACCTCGAGCTATTTTAAACACGTAGAATAGTCCTTAAAATTTTTTCCTAGGAAGAAGGATTTACCGATTGTTTACTTGTTATATGCTATGCCTATTGACGGTAGGGGTTGGCATGGCACGTGATTTCTTTGTTCTGACCTTCACTTTTTATGCTACTAATAAATCAAAATATTTAATTAATATTGTTATGTAGTATTGTTATTTCTGCTTCCTATTGAAGTTTCTTTCTTTTCAAAATTGTGAAACATCCCTTTTATAGCCTTGCACGCCTTACTATTGTCTCAAAAACTAAATGAGAAATATTATTTTTTTCAATAGCTTTACTCTCATTTTCTTTTTAAACGATGTCTTTCAAATTCCCCAGAAAAAAAATTTCGGTTTTATTTTTCGTGTCCACCACACATATATTGAATATTTTAATTTATTTGAAAAATTGAGTTTGACATAAAAAATAATATATTATATTGAAAGATAGAAATACCACTTTACGATGGATTCAATTACTCAAATACATAATTTTATTTAATATTTGATGGGTTTGCAGTTTAAATAAACAAATCGCTCTCCTACTTGACCCGAATGTTAAATAGAGTTTATATTAATCTGGGTTATTAACTTTCTATAAGGATAAACTCTTACAGTTAATTAAATTTTAAGATACAAAAGCTCTTTAAAAACTCTCGATTAAGGTTGATGCTATGTCTTTATGAATTTCAAAGTTTGATTTCTACGATTGTTTGTTTGAAATTTCTAATGAAATTGATCAAAGTGAAACAATTCTTATCGGAACTCAAATGAGAAGTGGGAAATGTTCAAATACTGAGAAGTTCAATGAAACTTCTATTATCATATTGTTTTACTTTATTGATTTTGAAATTGAAGAGATTTTATGTTTGAGTTGCATTTTATTAGAAAGTTAGGACTTATATCAAGTTTCATGAAATGAAAGATATGGTAGATTGTTATTTAAAGATCTTACAACTCGATTATGAAATCAAGAAACTTAAGTATAGTTGATATGCAAGGATGCCCATAATTAATGTAATTAGATTTTATAAATTCAAATTTATAAATTTTTATTCTTTCCATATTTTTTATTTAGTAAACTTTTAGTGTCAAGTGATGAAGCAGGTTGTGTGTGGACATGCAATCATTGTTGATGTATGCATATAAGATTAATTAAAAGGCCAATTCAAGGAACAACAGACAGACTTCACCCTAAAAGAGATGGTGATCCTCATTGGTCAGCTACCCTCTTTCTATGCAATGAGTGAAGACTCGAAATAAGAAAAAAAATCTATATGCACTGCATATGCCTAAATGTATTTTTTTTTATAACCCCAAAATGAAAGGGGTTACTAAAGACGTTTTGAAAATTTTGAGTTTATTTAATTATGGTAAAAAAATTAGTATTTAATGCCTATCAAAAAATCATGCTAGAAGTAAAGCAATGCTAACAAATCTAGGAAAAGTGGTAAAAGTTAAGCGAGCAAAAAATTAAAATCAACACACAAGCATAAAACTAAAGCAAATTTATAAAAGAAACATCTAAAAAGTCTTAGACCTAAGGCAGACTCGTCAGTCAATTGTCTTATTTGAATGTCTTCTGCTTATATTTTAGTACTTTAAGATTCATCCTTGTTGTTTTTGCTTTGAGTTGAGGTTCATCCTCATTTTTTATGTTGAAAGTCTTAGACCTAAGGCAGACTCGTCAGTTAATCGTCCTATTTGAATGTCTTCTGCTTATATTTTAGTACTTTAAGGTTCATCCTCGTTGTTTTTGCTTTGAGTTGAGGTTCATCCTCATTTTTATGTCGATCCATGTTGTTCGTCCTTGTTGTTTATTCTCGTTTCAACGTCTTTGTTGTGGTTATAGGACATCCATAGTCAACAAACTACGATAGAATCCCAACTCTATGACAAACTCAACAAGAAATCAAACATACGGTTACCACATCACCTAGGTTTACTACAGCACCTTAAAAGAGAGAGTTAGGACATCCTAGACTTACTACAACACCTGTAAATTAAAGTTAGCACAAAATAACATATAAAGAAAAGGTCAAAACACAAACACAATACTAACTAATCGGCCTAATATACAATTAAACGAAAAAAACCCGCCCCTAACCTAGTAGTTCTGACAAGCGAGCACAATCAAAACAATCAAAACAAACATACTCAAACAATACAATTACATAATATATTGCCTTAACCTAAAACTAAAGCTAGAGTGCTGACATAAATATCTATATTGTGTATGCGGTCTATGTAACTAATCAGAACTAGGTTTAGAAGAAAGGGAGATTGGGTGGCAAATATACTATTTTGGGGTTCGGAGTTGAATATAATTATTGAACTTAATTGGTTACTGCACTGACGGAAATTCAGTAGATTGTTTGATTACTAGATTGATTGAATTGATGGTAGATTTAGGTAGGGTTGGAGCAAGTCTTAAGTGCCGATTTTGAGGGGTTGTTTGGTGGCTGATTTTGTAACAGGTTTTGGATACAAGATTTTGCCGCGACTCAAGAAAACTTTCATTAGAATTTAGGTAAGAATTTGTATAGGTTTCAACACATTTGAAGGGCTATTTTGGGCTGAATTTGTATAATTTACAAATTATGAACGATTATGATTGTATTCATCCAGTTTGATGGGGTTCTTTGGGATTGATTTAGAAACACATTGGAAAGGGGTTGTGTTGACCTCGCTTTCGATCGAGGTACAGTTTTCCCCTCCTTAGTAGCCTAGGTTCTAGCCGTAGGACCTTTCTGTCGACTACTCCTAGAAAACTAGTGAAGGAGCACTCCCCGTTAGCAATTCTGAACTTTTATTCGCTCGACTTGACGTTCCATATAGTAGTTTTGACCGCTATTGCTTAGCAGGTAAGGCTACTCCGGAAGAACTCAGAGAGTATTCCTATAGGACTGTCGACCTTAGGATTGACTGTAATCGTTGATTTGGCGTCGCCGTCCTCTGCACCGTCCTGTTTGATTGAACTCATACCGGAATTTTGATAGGATTCAAACCGCGACGCGTTTTTGTCTCATTCGTCGACTGAGGTTGCCCGGACGACTCCGGATGATGAAACGGACTACGTCGATGCTTCCGAAACATCGATTTTGCCAGGGGGACATTCGTTTCATTGCGACGACGCATCTTGGGGAAAATACGTATTTAAATGTTAATTATAACTATAAATAATATTTTATTATTATTATAATTATAATTAATAACTTATATTAAAAATTTTTAATCTAAATCTATCTCCTCCCTCCCCGCCTCATTCTCTCAAACCCGTGGGTCTGCCTCAGCCTTAGATCTCGCTCGGTTTCGCCTGGCCCGCTCCTTCGTGCCGTTGGAGTTTTGTTCCCGCGCTTGCCTCGCACACGTAGGACAATCCCGCGACCCATCCCTTCGTATCTCATCCACTTCGAGGATCTCATCCTCTGCCTCTCGCACGCCCGTATGGGGGCGTCTGCTCCTCTCGAACCTTCGATCCGTCTCCGTATGAGATCCTCTAATTATTCCCTCTTTTTCTCTCTGGTTTATATGATACTCTGTTGGTGCGTTTCAAGGGGCCGAAAATCTCTGAGGGGGGAAAAATTCTGCCATTTTCTTTTCTCATTTACTTCTGTTGTGCTTGGGTTGGTTCCCTCTTACTGTTGGAGGAAGGATTGAAGTGGAGGAGTGCTTTGAAAATTTTTGTGTGGCTTTTCTTTGCTTCAAGGAGGTACTTTCTCCCCCCTTTGTGCCTTGTCTTTCTTCAGTTTTCTCTCTGCCGAGCCCCTTAGCTTAGTGCAGTGGACGATACAACATGCTTGCGTGATATTACACTTATGTTTTTTTGAAATACTTGGTACTCAAGCATTTAGAAATGGAAATGTGAGCATGTTCTAGGAGTTAGGCTTGATTACTTGCTTAAAGTGGTGAAGATATGACATGTTTCTATTTATTGTAGCATATTTCCATTGGAAGCAATTAGGAGGGTTGAAACGTGGCTTTGAGACAATGTTAGCTTCTCTTGCAAGCATGTTAGGAGTGTATGTTAGGAGTGTATCATGAAGCTAGGAGTGTATCATGAAGCTTTTCATTTATTCTTATCTAGCATGAAACATTGGAAGGTTTTATCTGGTCTTTCACGAATGTGGAAGACTCGGTTTTAGCATCTTAAATTCATTGTTGGCTTAAAAATGCATGCTAAGTTCACTTTGATTTAGGGAAGGTTCTATAGTTTGCTTTAATAATTTGGCTTGGCTCCTCAAGGGGGAGGGCACCTTTCATGCTTGGATGTTTGAGGGAAGTTGATTCATGCTTAGAACGATTATATTGGTGACCTAAAAATACTTTCCATGACATTGTTATAGTTTAAAATCTATTTTGGCTTCATATACTGATGTTTTAGAGGCACGTGAATTGTTCTTTGGCCTTGAGTGGCTCTGTTTTGGGTTTTTGCTGGGCTCGGTTTTACCTTAAGGTGGCTGGAGTTTTAATTTCTGTTGAGAACGGGCTTTTGGTTTTTGCTGAAGCTTTGTCCTAATTGCTCGAACTTTACTTTGGGCCTTTAAGGGTTTGATTTGGCTTTGTTTGGGGGTTCGGTTTGCTTGCCTTAGCTCCTACCTGAGAGCCTGTTTTGGGTGTTTGTTCCTGCCCTTGTTCAAGAGCTGTGGGAGTGTTCAATTTTATTAGCTTTAACTCCTATTTGGGGCTCGGTTTTTGTCTGGTTCTGCTGCTACCCGAGAGGTAGCTTGGGAGCTTGATTTGGTTTGTTCTTAGTCACACCTGTGAGCTTGTTGGTAAGTCATTTGGTTTGGCTTTG